GGCGGTAAAGCTCGAAATATGAAAACGAGACTCCGAAACCAACCGAATAAACATAGCGGGAATCTGACTCGGTTTAAAGCGTAAATGAGAGTTCCACGTGTCTACGTCAATTCATGATTCATAGTCCGACACACAAAACTATTCGAACACCCAAATAGAATTAACAACTAACGATAATCGGTTCAACGAGTATGATAAATTCAATCAACATGATATTCGAGCACGGACAATATAACAAGAAGAAGTTTCAGAAATGTTACCCGTCTTCGGAAAATTCGAAAAAACTGGTCAGCGAACAGACCTCGAAAACTCAAACGGTAATCTCGACGAACGGGACCGGGGTGGCTGCTCGCGAACGAAAAACTACGCTGACCTTGACGAATGTACGGACTGCCGCTGAGGAGGGCGTCTGTGACGGTGGGGCTGCTGCTCAACGTTGGTGCTTGTTAACGAATTGACGGACGGTAGTTGCAAATCACAAATTATGGAAAGAAATCTGCCGCTGCGACCGCCGGTTGGGAAAGCTCGCGGTTTTATCCGATTGGCGGTGGAAGTCCGTGGCTGTAGAGAACCACCGGAGACGATGGTGGCAGCGATTTTTTTTTTTTTCAAAAATTGAAGACTGCTACGAGCGAGAGAGAGTGGATAAGAGATTTTCAATCTTTTCGAGGGTCAGAACTCTTCTTCCCAGATATAGGAGCATTTGACGATCGAACGTGCGGAGAGATCACAGAAAGATCACAACGGATTTTAGAACGTGGAGACTTGGTCTCACACCACGATTTTTTTGAACGCGAAGGAAAACAACTCATTAATTAACTAGATGAGAACGTCTAATTAATTAATATAAGTCTAAACGAGGATTGACGAGCTATAATACAATATAGACAATTTATTCAAATAATAAATAATAATGCCAATAAATAATATCAAATAATCCATAAATTAACGGGGCATTACAGTTTGTTCCCAGGTTCAGAGAGAAAATTACAGCTCTTTAGAGTTTACAAAGAGTTGCGTCTCCTTATGTTGATGAACTTCTTGGAGAGCTCAGGACCTTTGAAATCAACAACAATTATGACAAAGTCAAAAGCAAGGGTCTAGCTCTCAAAGTTGCTGTAGTTGAAGAAAGAGAAGAAAGCGATGATGATGACGGTTCGTTGGTTGATGACAGCGAGCTAAAACAAGCACTAGCGCTGATCGCGCGAAATTATAGAAAGATGAGTCAGAGGCTGTACAAGAATAAATTTGCTGGAAAAAAGGGCATTAACTTTAGCAAGAATGCAGTTATTGACAAGAAAAATAGTATGCCACTCTCAAAACCTGACTCACAACGAGTTGAGAAGGATCAATGCAGCGAGTGTTGGGGTTTTGGACACTTTCAGTATGAGTGTGCTAACCTTAAGAAAAAAAATCTCTGAAAGCAACCTGGGAAGGCTAAGATGATGAGGGCAGTGACGAACCTCCAACGCACACTAGTAATATGGCTATCCACACCCCAGTTAAGAAGTTCATGTGTCTCACCACTTTTCATGTTCCGACCAAGTTTGAGGAAAGTTTAAAAGAAGCAGATGCATATGAAGATGAAGCAGATCAAAATATGTGTGTTAATCCTGTACACTTACTTGCCATGGAAAAGTGTGCTCAAGCATCTGAAGCTCTACAGAAGCTTCAAAATGAAGTATTTAGACTTTCAAGGGCTAACAGGGTGTTAAACGAACAAACATCCGCTTCCACTGCCGATAAAGATTTTGAACTGAATACTGCAAAGGCTCGAATTAACATTCTTGAGAGCAGTGTCAAAGTTGTTAAGCAAGATGGACTAGAAAAGTCTCAGACCATGGAATGCTTGAGGTCTGAACAATTTACCACTCAGAAACTACTTGCGAAAACGAACCATGAGATCTTGAATATAAAAAATGAGGTTGATTGGCTCATGAACAAACATGCCAGTATGGAAAGTAAACTGAAAGCAAACTCTGCTGAGCTAAATCGTACTGCCGAGGCTGTTTGGAAACTGATTAAGGGAAAAGCTGATCTGAATGAAGTTCTTTCCTTGGGTAAACAACATGGTAATCTTACTGGAATAGGGTACACAGGTAGGGAAGACAATCTTGAGTCCTCAACTAGAAATTCAAATACAAAACATACCGGTCTTGGATTTGGGAACAAACCTGGAATTGGAGGTATGAACCTGCATAGGAGACATTCCAGAAACATGTTTGGCAGGTTTGTAAAAGGCACTGTAAGTAACCCTCTCTCTCCTAAATCTCCATTGAAGGTTCAATCACCGATGCAGGAATCATTTAGAAAAACTCATCATAACATTCTTCCTATTTGTCATTACTGTGGAATAGCTGGTCACATAAGACCCAAATGTTATAAAATGCAGCATGAACTTTCTATAGGTAATGTGAGGAGTTGTAATCAGTCTGGCATTCCCTTGAATCTTCACGCCAAAACTTTCCAAAATAACCGTTCCAAAATTCGTCAAGTGTGGGTTGCTAAGGAATCATTCAAGTGTTATGCTTCTATTCTTTCTCTTTGGACTTCTCTGAAAGGTAAATGGTATCTGGATAGTGGATGCTCTAGACAAATGACTAGGGAACCTTCGTACCTAAAAAATATTCAGGCAGGTTCAAGTGGAGAATTCACTTTTGGTGACGGTGTGAGCAATAAGGTCATTGGAACATGTTGTTTAAAATTGGGGGGGTTACCTAAATTAACTGATGTGTTACTTGTTGATGAGCTAAAGGAAAATCTCTTGAGTGTAAGCCAGCTCTGTGACTAAGGCCTTAGTGTCAGTTTCTCATGTGATAAGTGCTATGTCAAAAACAGTGAAGGTTCTTGTGTACTTACAGGGTCTCGTTCAACTGATAATTGTTATCTTGTTGATTATAATGAAAAATGTCTTTTCTAAAATGTGAGAGAACCTGAAATCTGGCGTCAACGCTTGGGCCATATGGGATACTCTCCTCTTGTCAAATTGACCAATGCAGGTGTAGTCAGGGGCGTTCCAAAGATTGACATGAAGGACCAACCAATTTGCGAACCTTATCAACTAGGTCAGCAAACTCGGGCATCCCACAAGTCACTGAACCACATTGCCTCTAAACAGATCTTAGAACTTCTTCGCATGGATCTTATGGGTCCTATTCAGGTAGAGAGCTATCAAGGTGAAAAATATATTTTTGTGTGCATTGATGATTTCTCTCGATATACTTGGATTGATTTCTTGCGTGAAAAGTCTGACACATTCTCTGCCTTTAAGTCACTTTGTTTGACAGTTTAAACTAAAAAAGGCTTTCCCATAGTAAGTATTCGAAGTGATCATGGAAGAGAGTTTGAAAATTTTGAGTTTGCGAAATTTTGTGATTCTCTGGGTATTTGTCACGAGTTCTCAGCTCCTAAAACTCCACAACAAAATGGAGTTGTTGAAAGGAAGAACCGTACTCTACAAGAAATGGCCAGAGTCATGTTAAGCTCCAAAAAAATTTCTTCTTGATGGTGGGCTGAGGCAGTCAATACAGCATGCTACCTCGTGAATCGAGTGTACCTTCATCGAGGTATTGGTCTAACTTCGTATGAACTCTGGAAAGGTAAAAGTCCTAATCTCAGTCACTTGCATATTTTTGGGTGTAGATGTTTTATCTATAATGATCGTGTACAACTTGGGAAGTTCGATGCAAAATCGGATATTAAATTCTTTCCTGGTTACTCTAACAATAGTTGATCGTACCGTGTTTACAACACAAGTAACTCCACTGTAATTGAGTCCATGAATGTAATCTTTAATGAAACAAATTCCATGTTGGTTCATCTGTGTCTTTTAATCAGTTTGGAAATGTTTAGACATTGCAGGATACTCATGATGTTAAGAGTTCTGTTGACAAGGAGACGGTTGAACCCTCGGTTGGGGATGCTAAAACATCAATTGACTACATTGTCCCTTCGACTCAAGAAGGTTCAGTGCCAGCTAGGCGTGATCCTCCCTTAAGGGTTCAGAAAGATCATCCATCCGAGCAAGTCATTGGTGACATCAACGAGAGAGTAACCAGAAACTCGAAGACGTCAGTACAGGAACTTATGGTTGTTTCTCATTATGTCTGCTACACCTCATTGATTGAACCCAAGAATGCTAAAGAAGCTTTGAAATATGAGTGTTAGATCTTAGCGATGCAGGAGAAACTGGTGCAATTCACTAGAAATGATGTTTGAGAGTTAGTCCTTGAAACTTCATCGGGAAATGTTATCAGAACAAAGTGGATCTTCAAGAACAAAACTGATGAGTTCGGGAATGTGATGCGTAACAAGGCGAGACTAGTTGCTCAAGGCTACACTCAGACTGAAGGGATTGATTTCGATGAAACTTTTGCCCCCGTTGCTAGACTTGAATATGTACGCACATTTCTATCTATTGCTTGTCTAATGAAGTTCATTGTTCACCAGATGGACGTGAAGTCTGCCTTTCTGAATGGGATATTACATGAAGAGGCATACGTTAAACAGCCAGAAGGGTTCAAATATCCCAAGAATCCGAATCATGTCTACAGACTTAAGAAAGCATTGTATGGATTGAAGCAAGCGCCACGTGCGTGGTATGAATGCCTTACCATGTACCTTCTGGAAAAAGGATTCAAGAGAGGAGGAGTAGATTAGACATTCTTTGCACTTCGAACGAATGAGGACCTATTGGTTGTTCAAATCTACATTGACGATATCATCTTTGGATCAACATCCAAGAAGCTGGTCAATCACTTTGTTAAACTTATGTCGTCTGAATTCGAGATTAGTCTCGTAGGTGAACTTTCATACTTCCTTGGACTTCAGGTAAAGTAAGGTAAAGATGGTATTTTCTTGTATCAGGGTAAATATGCAAAAAACCTTGTTAAAAAGTTTGGTCTTGAAAATGCTAAAAGTCCTCAAACTCCCATGGACACTCATGTAAAAGTGTCCAAAGATGATGAAGGTACATCTGTTGATCAAACTCTATACAGAAGTATGATTGGTAGTCTTTTATACCTCACTGCTAGCAGACTTGACATTTGCTTTAGTGTTGGATTGTGTGCCAGGTATCAGGCTGCCCCCAAGGAATCGCATATGAATGCAGTCAAGCATATCATTAAGTACATTGGAGGTACATCAGAGTACGGTCTATTCTACTCTGCTGATACGAACTTATATGAGGAAACTACGTGTAGGACGACAACACATCTACTTATTTGCACTCTTACGATTTATTAATAACTTTTAGCCAAATCAAAAACTTATGTAATTTTATTTGCAAACATACATTATATTCAGTTTCCGCAGCATGTATATATTATCTTCAATTATGACAGATTTATTTGGAGCAGTTACCAAATAAAATAAAAACCATCTCCACCTTTCACGCCTAAATACTTCTCATCCTCTCTGTTTACACAGGGTGCATTTGCCAGCCATTTTTCTTCCACAATCGACGTCTCTTTTGGCGTCTCGGAGAATGGATCATCATTGATGGAGGAGTGACGGGGAGTGGCGTGGCAACTGGCGGTTTCGATGGCTAAAGAGGACGACTAGGATCGTGCAGCGGCCTTTTCGGCTCATGAGTTGCGGGCTCTTCGAAACAGCAAACTGAGGGTAGTGGGAACTACATTTGTCGGGCACCGGTGAAAAAACATATACGTAAAATATACTAGATATACACTTCAACTTTGTACGTAAAAACATATATTGAAAAACAAAATTGTACTGAATATATATTGAGTATATAGTGAAAACATATTCAGTGTATACTGAAAAATATATACGTAAAAACAGTTGTCGGGCACCGGTGAACTTCAGTATATACTGAAAATATATTGAATATAAACGCAACATGTACGTAAAATATTCTTTGTCCAGTGAAAAAATATCGGTTACCGGTCAGTGAAATTTATCGTATGTAAATAAATCGTTCATCCAAAGCTCAAACTCGTCATCGCCGGTAGTTGAGTACCACCCGCGGTTATGTACAACTCCATTATATTCCCGCAAAACCCCCATCGTCGTAGCCCTTTTTGCTTCACCTCCGCCGCTAAATATAAACACAACATATACGGAAAATATTCGGTGTCTAGTGAAAAATTATTGGTTTTCGGTTATCAGTGAAACTTATCGGTTTACGTAAATAAACCATTTATTCAAATCTCAAACTCGTTGTCGCCGGTAAGTTCATGAGTACCTCCAACGGTCATGTACAACTCATGTTTGCTCTTGTAGAATCCCCATCGCCGTCGCCCTTTCCTCTGCCTCCGTCACTGAACGGCCACCATGGCTACCACCAGTACCGTACGCCACCTCCTTCTTTGTGAAGCCGCCACCGAATTCTCTTCACCGTTCTCGCCATCGAGCCGAGAAGCCCGATTTCTTATATGCGGAAGGGGCGGTGTATTTCATCTAACGAAGCTTTTTTTTAATTAGTTCATGAATTACCAAAAGACGGAGCAATTTATTTTTTTTTGGGCAATAGATTTTTTTCTTTCATTAATTAGATGCGATTTTTAAGAGATTACGTGTTTTTGATTTGGAAAACAGATTTTATGCATTAATATAATTATTTTGGAAGAATTAGGTATTGACAAAAATTCTTTATTATCTATCGTAAGAGTGCAATTATTTGTAAAACACGTAGGATAGATGTAAATTGGCCAACTTACATGTTGCAGGCTATTGTGACGCTAACTGGGTTGGAAATCTTGATGATCATAAAAGTACCTCTGGTGGGTGTTTCTACATAGGATCAAACTTGGTATCTTGGTTCTACAAGAAACAAAACTGCATCTCTCTTTCTATTGTTGAGGCCGAGTACATTGTCGTTGGAAGCTGTTGTTTACAGTTGGTATGGATGAAACAGATTTTATCCGAGTATGGTATGAACGTTCATTCGACTCAACTTTTCTGTGACAACACTAGTGCTATAAATATTTCAAAAAATCCTGTCCAACACTCATGTACCAAACATATTGACATTTGATATCATTTTATTCGTAATTTGATAGAAGATGTGATTATTGTGTTGGATCATGTACCTACAGATGATCAGCTTGCTGATATTTTTACAAAAGCTCTTGATTCGAAACGATTTTTGTCCCTGAGAAAGTCTTTAGGAATGTGTGC